TTCTCTTGTTTTTTCTTGTGGAGCTCCCTTCTAAGTACCCTGTGAAGGGATTACTGAAGTATTTAAAGTTCATTATGTTTAAACCTTTATAATATTTCGGAGTTGTTCCCTTTTCTTGGAAAGTATTGATATGTCCTCAATTGATCATTTATTTAAATAATTTCTTACACTTTAAGACCCAATTCTAGTATTTCTTACTCTTAAAGCCTTCCCTGTTGCATTGAAACTCCTTTTCTGTCATCCAATGCATAGCGTTTACTGTACTTAGAACTTACCAGTCTGCATTATAATTTTTGGTATACCGTTTTTACTCTCCTACTAGACTGTGAGTTCCTTGAAGACAAAAACTTGTCTTGCTTATCTTGATATCACTAGAACCTAGCCTAGTGCTGAGGACACAGTAAAGTGTGTGTGTGTGTGTGTGTGTGTGTGTGTGTGTGTGTGTGTGTGTAGAGAGAGAGAGAGAGAGAGCACAATGGAAGTAATGAGTATGTTATTTCCTTACTTATAAGTAAGCTTGCAAAGTTAGTGACTCTGGTATTCAGTTGTGATATACGGGTATAACAGATTATATCACTGATAATGCAAAACATCAAAATGTAAAGAACAAAATGATGATATTGTGAATTTTTTCAAAATTAGCAAATAGAAATATCCATTTATATTATTTTTAGAGAAAAATTTGTATCTAAGAACTGATCAGCAAATAATTTTTCTTTTATAACAAAAGTATTGATGCTTTTATAAGAAAACAAAAAAAAACATAAATCATAAATTGCTTTTGAATAGCAACCAGGACGACAGAGTGAAGGTCATGTGTGATAGACTACAGAGCAGCGAGCAGTAGTCTGAGTTATGGACTCCACAGGGGCCATCTACTACGGGATGTTGTCAGTCCTCATAAAGAGGACAGTGGTAGTGGACAGAAGCCAGCTCTTCAGAGAAAGGAGTCTTTAAGAACAAAGGAGCATCCATTGCGTTTCTTAATTGAAGACTGGATTGACGTAGGTAAATTTATGAGAGAAATGTTTGACAGAGCCAAGTGTGTGTGAAGCCTGATATTGGAGACTCAGCTATTCATGAGTCAGGGTTAAAGAGAGGAAAGTTTTTAATTGCACTGGAAAGGCCTTTTGCCATTTGAAACGAGCTGGATTACACAGTTCCTAAATAATCAGTTGGTAAAACCAAACCTATGGAATGGCTTTCAGCCTTTGGTTAAAGCAGCGAGCACAAGCCAGTTAGAGAAAGTAATGAGTACAGAAGGAGATTTTTCATGGCACAAACAGAACACAAAACAATTTAAAATAAAGTGAACAGCAAAGCTGAGATCAAGTAAGATTAATGAACTAATAGTTCAATTGAGGCTTTTCTTGTGATTCTGAAGACTGTTTATCAAGTGAGCTTCACAGGAATTTCTAGGCCATGTGATGGGATTTCAAGGTCAGATGAAAGTAAATACAATCCAATGGTCCCTAAGTTCATTTTCAATGATCCTAGTTTCTTCTATATTTGTTCATTCTAAAGTTTAATAAGCCAGTATTTATTCTTTCCATACCTAGTTTGTTTTTGCTCTTTTTCTTCGCCTACCAAGTTAAAAGAAAGGATTTCTCTTTTGTATATTTCCCCTGTAAGGTACTTCAGCCAAGGCAGTATAACAGTAGCTGCCCCCCTTTTTTTCCCAAAAGCATTCTAGTTGGTTATTTATTTTTGTCTTCTATTAAAATGAACCTTGGGGCTTCCCTGGTGGCGCAGTGGTTGAGAGTCCGCCTGCCGATGCAGGGGATGCGGGTT